TGGGCCCCAGCACCCACTAAATTATTCAGCTGGCCAGTCCTAAGCCTGCTCATGCTGCCTTGCCCATTCCTTCCTGCCGAAACCACTACCCAGGCTCCTGCCCATAGTCCCTCTGTCTCCCTGGGCCCCCAGGGCCCGCTCCCTCCTCTTGAAAACTGGCAGCTTTTTCCTGATCTGTAGAGCCTTGCTGAACCTCAAATTTTCTATCAATATACTATCTTTTTAAAAGATTTTATTTATTTATTTTTAGAGAGAGGGGAGGGGAGAGAGAAAAAGAGGGTGAGAAACATCAATTGGTTGCACGTGCCCCACTGGGGACCTGCCTGCAACCTAGGCACGTGACCTGACCTGGAATGTCAGTTTTATTGGGCAAGGTCTCCTGGTGCCTCTAGGGAGACAGCACCCAAGACACCCCACCCAGCCTCTCCCACAGCAGGCTGTGGAAACACCCGTGCCCCAGGCCATGCTCAGCACAGCAAAACCCTCCCTGCCCGGACACCACACAAGAGCCACCCAGTTCTCAGCCTTCCGGTTTTCTAAGCCGAAGCCTGGCCCCAGGCACCTCTGTCCTGCTTGAAGCACAAAAGGTCTGAGGTGCAGGGTAAGCAGCCACTCTCCTCGTGGGAAGGGTTGGCAGCACAGAATCTCTCTCCCCCATTCTCTAACCTTTCCCCATTACTTTGGGTGTGAACGTCTACAATGTTAAGAAACACACCTCCAGGTATTTCCTTTGCTCTTAGAATTTTCTATCATAGTTTAGGGCTAATTCTGCAATTTAAACATTTTTAAAAGGAGTGACATGGTAGTTTTAAAAACATTTCCTTTGAATTTGTTTTAAGTGTAAGAAAGGTTTTCTTTGATATTCATATCAAGAAGCTGAGAGGATTCTCATTTGAAAGACTGACCCCAATGAAAAGGCAAATTATCACAGACATTTGCAAAATCCCAATTATCTTGTTAGTTCTGCCCTTCCTCCCTGCAAACAACCCCAAACTGAATTTACTTATCAAGTTCAAAGGTTTTAAAAAGGTAACCAGCTGCCACTTCCATTTCTAGGTAGCTGGTCACTAAGGTCACACTGGGTCCCCATGCCCTTGAGTCAGGGGTGTAAAGACAGCGGGACAGTGGCTTGTACACCCTCCCTCCCTCTGGCTGGGTTGAAGGCAGCAGAGTCAAGACAAGATTAGGCTTGAAGATAAAACCAGGAATGCATCTCACACTAGTTCCTCGCCCTGCCCTAGTGATCATGTGTAAAAATAAAACAGCGGGTTTTCACCTCTTGAACAGGTCTGAGAAGCAATTAGTCCTGTGTACACGTCATAGGACTATCTTCAGGCAAATTTAGGTTTATCAGGTTATTGCTGGAATTTACTGATCAACAGTTTCCAGGGCAAAGAAAGATACTAAATGCACCCAAATGCTCCCTAACTTCAGGCTATAACTATTTGAAAGTCTGAAGCCACAAGGCCAAGGAGCAGAATAAAATAAAAATGACAAACTTCTCAGAACCACAGACCAATTCCTCTAGATTGTTTAACATAGTAGCTGTCAAACTTTTTAACCACACCCACACCGAGAAATACACTTTATACTGCAACTCAATAAACACACACATGCACACACAGAGGTGGAGGGAAAGAGAGAGAAAAAAGTATTTATAGCTATTTATAAAAAACCATGAATAAGAACTCCACAAAACATCTCTTTCCATCACGACTTGTGTTGCACCCTAATAGTTTCTAGTCTGTTCTATTTCACTTTAATGCCGGTCTATACCCACTAATTTATTGCCCCATCCAATACTGGAAGTGACCTGCAGTTTGTAAAACTCGGCGTGGAGGCAAGTGCTCAGGCTTTTTGATGTGCTGAGGGCCTTTAGGGAGGAGAACACAATCCCTGCAGTAAACCAGGCTGGGAGTCAAGAAAACCAGTGCTGCTCCTTGCCCTGCAACGATGTAGCCTCCACTTTTTCTCTTGGGTCTCTGAACAGTTGCTGTGAAATAAGTAATTTTAATTACTTTTAACTCTAAAATTCTAAAGCATGTTGTTTTATCACTGTTGTGAAAGATGCCAGGAGAGGTGGGGGTCAAACTTACACAGAGATGGACGGATACGTCTACAGAGGAAGCACCCTACTTTAATTTTTCCCCTCTTCTGCAGTGTTTGTTTCTTAAACCAGTTTGTTGATATAATTCCTGTACTATATAACTCATTCATTTAAAATGTATGATTCCATATTTTTAAAAGATATAGTCACAGGGTTGTGCAACCATCAGCGCACAATCTAATTTTAAAAACACTTTTGTCCCCCCAAAGAAGCCCACGTCCACTGCAGTCGATCCCCATGCCCACTTGTCTGTCACCCACCCCCACCCCAGCCTGAAGCAACTGTTAATCTACCCCGTGAATTTGTCTGAGCTTCCTGAACTTCCTGGAAGTCTATTTCCTTTGCCAGATTAGGGAAGTTCTCCTTCATTATTTTTTCAAATAAATTTTCAATTTCTTGCTCTTCCCCTTCTTCCGGTATCCCTATGATTTGGATGTTGGAATGTTTAAAGTTGTCCTGGAGGTTCCTAAGGCTATCATTTTTCTGAATTCTTGTTTCTTCATCCTGTTCTGGTTGAATGTTTATTCCTTTCTTCTCCAAATTGTTGATTTGAGTCCCAGTTTCCTTCCCTTCACTGTTGCTTCCCTTTATTTCACTTTTCATAGCCTTCACTTTTTCTTCTATTTTGTGACCATATTCAACCAATTCTGTGAGCATCCTGATTACCAGTGTTTTGAACTGTGCACCTGATAGGTTAGCTATCTCTTTGTTGCTTAGTTGTATATTTTCCAGGACTTTGATCTATTCTTTTATTTGGGCCTTTTTTTTTTGTCTCAGCACACCTGTTACATAGTAAGGGGCAGAGCCTTAGCTGTTCACCAGGGTGAGGCAACCCAAGTTGCTGCTTTGCAGCGCTGTATGTGGGGGAAAGGTTCGAGAGGGAACAATGAGGCCCACTCGTCTCTCTGCCAGCTTCCAGTCCCCTCCACCACTACCATAAGCAAATTGGGCCCTTCTGGTTCTGATTCCCGGGTGGGTGGGTCTCTCCAACGAACTCTCCTGTGAGGAGGGGAGTTTCTCCTGCCACCTCAATCCCCACAGGTTTTTTTCAATCAGAGGTTTTGAGGCTCTATTTCCCTGTGCTGGAACCCTGGGTTGCATGGTCTGTCTCACTCCCCAATTGTGTCTCCCGGTCTAGCCACACGTGAATGTGGGACTGCCCACTCCAGTCCTCCTTCTGCTGCCTTGCTGCAAGTCCTCTCTGCCCCGGCAGCCCATCTCTGCCCCTCCCACCAGCCTGGATGAATGTTTCTTCTTTAACTCCTTGGTTGTCAGACTTCCATACAGTTCCGTTTTCTGGCAGTTCTGGTTGTTTTTGTTTTTAAATTTGCTGGTGTGCTTCTTTTGGTTGTGCTAGGAAGCACAGTGTATCCACCTATGCCTCCATCTTGGCTGGAAGTCAATTCTGAAGCCAAGGAACAAGAAGACAAGACTCCCCCTTTCTGTCCTCATCCTCCCCCTGCTAGGTGACCAAATCTCTGTTCAGAAACTTCTGCGAGTTTCTGTTGTCCCAGAGAGGCGAAGGCTGAGAAGTGGGGCAGAGGATAGAGGTCCATAGACAGGGTGTGCCAAGGGGCCAGGAGGAAAAGGAGGGGCTTGGCGTGTGGCATGCAGACATCTATGCAGAGAGATAACTGGGACTGGGGCTCTTAAAATGACGCAGAGGGTAAAATGGGCAGAAGAAGGAGGGTTAAGGAATAATAGCTGCCATACAAGTGAGGACTCCCCGACTCTGAGAACTTTACTTGTCAGTGCATATGTGTAACCTGCACGACACACTACAGGGCAGGTGCTATTATTTGGAAACTGAGGAACCGAGGGATTAAGTCAGTTGCCCAAGTTGACAGCCAGTGCAAACCTTGCTCTTGGCCACCCTGTCCTCCAGCTTTGGGGAAGCTTCTTCCTGCTGCCGTCTCACACACACAGCTCCTTATTGTGGCTGATTGTGCTGACCTTGTGGATGCTCAACAGCAGTGCTAACCTCTTCCTGTGTCCAGAGGCTAGGAAACGAGAAATAGTACTTTCCAGGCTCTTCTGGATGACTGGAATCCAACGGGTTTTGCAATTAAGAAGTACTTGAATGAGATTAGAGATGGAGGGAAGTAAGGCAGAGGCTGCCTTCTTGTGTGTTTGGCTGGCTTGTTGAGTGTCTCTGCAGCTGTGCCCTGTCCGGCTTCCTGGGCAGATGGGTTAGCACCTGATTATTTATAGCAAGCCCCTGTCTGTGTGTGTATAATACCTGCAGAGGTGTAAAGTTCCTGCCCTGAGCCCTGACTGATAACCTTCTCTTCTTCCTCCTTCCCTTCCCAACATCAACCGCTGGGGGAAGAACAGTGGCAGGCAGTGCGAAGGAGACAAGGGAGAAGGACTTTGACAAATTGACTCAGACATTTGCTCCTTCACCCATCATTTACAGCACACCTGTTTTGCTCTGCGGACTGTGCCAGGCACCTCCTACTCCTGCCCTCTGTCCCCTTCAGTCACGCTCACCAGGACTGGTACACACCAGTGGGGAGGGAGGAGTCTGTGGGTTTGTGTATGCTGTCCCATTCCCTGGAGTGCCCTGCCTCCTCCCCTTATCTACCTATCAGGTTCTGAAATACTGCTCAGATACCACCTTCTCTCCAGAGCCAGGGTTCGCACGCACACAGGCAGCTGACTCCGAAGCCCATGTGTCTGACCACCAGGGAAGAGGCAGGGGAGGGCTGGAAAACAGGAGAGAGGTGACATGGCCCAAGGAGGAGGACGGTCCCATATGATGCACATATCTAAGGCAAGGGCTTATTTATTAAACAGCAGGCCACACAGCTGTGCCAGAAACAGTCTCTACATTTCCTTAGGAGGAAGTTTATCTTCGGGGACTGATGATCACCATGCAGTGTTGCCCACTTACCTTGGCAAATAGGGAATGAGTAGAAACCCAAGCGACAGGCATCACACTGAGGGCCCTCAACCCCAGGGCGGCACAAGCATCTTCCACGGTCATCACATATTTCGGGCAGAACTCCTTCCAAGTTACAATCACACCCTGTGAAGGAGAAGAGACTTTCGAGGGGTCTCCCCAACCCTTCGTCAGTTTCTCCCTCCCCCCAGGTTTCCATCATGAAAACACAGATTATGATACATCTATGGCTTATAGACATCCTTAACTCTGAAGATGACACCTGAAAGGGAAATAAAACAAATATTCAGGAAAAGTCAGAGATGCCACTAAGACATCCAGGGTGAGCATTAGTTTGCAAAACATCTTTTGAAAAGGCTTAACATCTACTCTTGTGAAAATGCTTCCCCTCACCCCAACTCTGAGCTTTGTAGAGTAAAAAACTTCAATTTAATAGATTCCCAGCTAATGACATTCTTTTCATTGAATTTTTATTTATTGATTTTCAGAAAGAGAGAGAAACATCAATTTGTCATTCCACTTATTCATGTATCATTGGTTGATTCTTACTGTGCTCTGACGGGGGATGGAACCTACAACCCTGTATATCAAGATGATACTCTAACCAACTGAGCTACCTGGCCAGGGCCTAATGACAATCTTGAATTAAACATACTTCTAACTCACATTTTTTTAGAAGAAAAGAAACAAATGTAAATTCAGCTCAACCACATGCTGTACATGGCTTTGCGGGGGATTCACCCAGACTGCGTCACTTAACCCTCTAGGCATGAGCCTGTCCATGCCTAGAGGGCATGAGCAAGTCAGGACGCTCTTAAGCCCGCAAAGAAGTGCTTTCCCACCTCAAGACCTTCCTCTGCCTGGAACGCCTTTCCCTGGTTCTTTCTCAGTCCAAAGTCAACCCCAACCAATCTGTACAAGCAGCTCCCCCCTTCCTCTCCTATTCTCTCTCTTAGCTGTTTGTCTTTCATAACACTTTCATTACTGAAATCACTGTGGGCCTCACGACTTGCTTTGACCAACAAAATGAAGTGAACATGCTGGTGTAGGATTTCTGAGCCCAGGCCAAAACAGTCTCTGTGGTTTCCATTCCGCCCTCTGGGAACCCTAAGACAGCCATGTGAAGCACCCAGTCTAGCTTCCTCAAGGAGAAAGGCCACGAGGGAGAGATGCCCGCTGTCCCCAGCAGACCCTCCAGCAAGTCCAGCAGAGACTGCCCAGCTAGCCCCCCACATTGTGAGAAGTAACTCTTGTCATTTTAAGCCACTAAGTTTTGGGGTGATTTGTTACACAGCAATAGGTAATTGAAACACCTCTAGGACTGAACACTTAGTGAGGGGTCACCTCGGGGCCACCAATGTCATCATACAGTATTTCTCAATGAATAAATATTTCTCAAAAAGACAGACTCTTGCTTGACTTCTTTATAAATGGATTAAAAAAAAAAACAAGCAAGAGCTCTGTAAGATAGGTAAGCATTTTATAGCTGAGAAAAAAAAAAGATGCTCAGAAAGGTTAATTAACTTGCTCAAGGTCACACAGCCAGAAAAGTAGGGTCACGATATGAACACAGGTGTTTCTGACTCTCAAGCCCATGCTAAAATTACAAGCTGATAACTGACTTTAAAAGCCATGTTCAAGGTGTGTCCTAGATTAGTATTCAAGCCAATCTCACATTTAAATCATCTACATTTCTATCAGAAACTTTAGCATCTAAATCTGCAACATGGTCCCATAAGGAAGATCCTAAAATACTCAAAGATTTGACTGGGTTCAATCACCATAGTTCTCAAGGAAGGGAGGTCTCATGCATTTTGAAAGATTTTCTTTCAAATTATTTAAAAAGATTTAAATAATAGGTCATTTTAAAAGTTTAGTCAAATCCCAGTCTTTCTTCATTGTCCTAAACCCTTAACTTTTCAGATGAAAGATTAATAAGAAAGCTATGGAATTATTTTCTCTGAAAAAATAATTAAGAAAAAGGAGCAGGGTACATCAGAACACCTTTATAGTCTGCATAATCTCTGCCTTGCCCATCCTTCAAACAGGCAGTCACCTAATCTGACCAAAAGAGCACCGGACATGTTCAAGGGCACATTCATCACAAGACAAGCCTTGGCGCCCAGGCTGGCATGAGCACCGCACTGACCACTCGCCACACTGCCATCCAAGGCCCCAAAGCCCTGGCCCTGTCAGCACAGAATGCTGCAGAGAGAGGGAAAGTGTTATTGTCAAACACAGTCTTGGCATTAACCAGGCATTCAAATTCAGTAAGAAACTTGAACTTCACATTGTCACTGAGGTCCAAGGAATCCTGATTTACAATCATTTGTAAACAGAAAGAAAACATCTGGTACCTATGCATTTTAAAAATTCTGTTTCTAAAACTCTACTTTTCAACAATTCCTCTTCCTTATCTGGAAAGCAGTCCCAGACAGTGCCGGAGCCAGAAACCTCTGAGGTCCCTCCCCTTCCCCTTGTCACCAAGTCACGGTGATTACATCTCCGGAAAGTCCCTGGAATGCTGCTCTCCTTCCAGAGCCTCCCCTCAGACCTCATCCCTGTCTGCCTGGATTGTTTGCCGGCCTCCGCACAAGGCTGTCTGGCTCCTGTCTTGCCCCTTCCAGTTCACTGTCCACCCTGGTGTCGAGAGTGGCCTTTCTTCTCATGTCATTTTCCAGTTTAAATTCCTCAAAGGTGATCCAATGCCTTCAGGACACAGTCCAAAGTCCTTGACATGTATGACACCATAGCCCCTTCAAAACCTTCCAGACTGCCAGCAGCCCAAGTGGCATCTTTGCACAAACTAGACGTGCAAACTAGAACAGGTGTCCCTTCCTCAGGTGCTTTCCTGACACCTGTGGTAAAATTGTCATAAACATATACGTCCGCAGTGCCCTCAGTGGATGTGACGCCCCTCAGACGCAGTGCAGTGTGCACTGTAACCTGCACACTTGTGCCTGGCTGCCCAGTCTGCTCGTTTCCTAACCCTCTCCTCCCTCTACCCCTTCACTCCCTTCTTCCCCTTCCCCACGATTCAGTCCCAGTGCCTCCCAGAGCCACCTGCCGCCCCCTCTCTTATTCCCATGCCTTCTCTCAGTGGCCCCTCTCCCTGCTAACTCCTCCATGCTCTAAGACTCAGCTCACATGCCTCCTCCTCCTGCTCTGGGGAAGCCCTTCCAGAACCTCTATGGACCTTCCTCCTTCCCTCCTTTCCTTCCCTCTCTTTTCTCCTCCCTCCCTCCCTTCCCTGCCATCACGCCTTCTGTAAGGGACTATATGGATGTCACTCTTGTATGCTCGCACAGCTTCGTGTTGACCATCGTATTAACTCCTGTTGTCATAATCATAACTGTTTGCCTGTGTGTCTCCTGCGGGACTGGAGCTTCCGGGGGTGCAGGGGCCATGTAGCAGGCAGGACTGTGCCTTGTCGGTGCCCAGTCAGTGCCTAGTACAGAATAGGCACTTCATAAAAGTTTAGTGAATGACGAATATGCTAAATATTCAAGACTAGAATTCTTTTCAGTAAATACCATTCCTTGAATTCTATTTTATTGGCATCCACACAGAGCTTCAAAGGTGAAATGCCAGAATTTGCGTGCCCTTCTATAAGCCTTACCTGGCAGGTCTCCACATCAACAATGACGGCTCCACCCCACCAGGCAGATAAAGTGCCCAGCCTGGGGAGGAACAGAGCCAGGAAAGCACCCCCAGCGGCCATCTCCCCAGCCTTGGAGTTCTCATCCTTTGTCCCAACCACACTGACCTCCAAACTTTGGCAACTGCAAGAAGCTCCTAACAAAATGATTGGGGGAATTACACCCTTTTCATGATATTAGTCGAAAAACGTCCTGGACATTTTTCAGGCCAAATGGGCCGCTTTAGAGAATCATCCTTAGATTATATGTCTACTAAAGTGAGCACCCGGAGTCTTTCTGCAAATGCTGACTTTGCTTTTTGCTGCTCTTCATTCAAACTTGGAAGAACAGGAGTGTGTGTGCACCTGCAGGCTGGTGTCCCTCTAGAGGGCATGTTTTGCATATGCCTTCACATTCAAAAGGAACCCTTAAAGATGTGTCTATCGATGCATTGCGATATGATACAAAGATATTGATATACTGGTTTCCTAAAAATAAATCTTAAGTGGATATAACTAATCACTTGGACCTAGAAAGTCCTAATAATATTCGGGGTCATGAAATACAATGAAAAACTCACAAACATTCTGATCTGTAATATTGTTCTGTTCTTCTGCTTCAAAGCTTCAGTGTCTGAAATTGATTGTATAGATTTTCTAGAGTAGTGGTTCCCCACCATTGCCTGGGTGTGGGATCCCAAGCCCAGAGATTCTGATATAATCCCAGGATCTGTAAACTATGGTCTGAGTGCCAAACCCACCCCTGCTTTAGCAAATAAAGTTTTATTGGAACACAGACAACCAAGTTCATTCATTTACGTATTAGCTATAGCTGCTTCTACAACAACAAAGTTGAATACTGCAACTTTGCCTACAAAGCTGAAAATATTTACTACCTGAACCTTTACAGAAAAGTTTTCCAAACACTAAATGGGAATTTTTACCAACTAGAGGAGTGGTTTTTTGATGACAGACATATATCAGCATCATCTGGAAAACTTGCTCAAAATATAAGCCTAGGCTTCAACTCTGAAAATGTAGATTTAGATCTGGGGTGATACACAGGAAGTTATATCCCGTAAAACTAAGGGCTTCTAAAACACAGCCCTGTTTAAGAACCACTGTATTAGAAGACATGAACGCATCCATGGACCTAAAAGAACTGAAATTCTCAGGGTTGAAGGGTGCTCGGTATTACCCAGTACTGTGTATCTTCTGGCTGCTGAGATGGTTGTGTTTCTAGGATTCCCTGCCAGGAGTTAGGCCCCAAACAGGGTGTTTTCAAAATGCATTAATAAAAGACCACAATGAAATGGATAGCTGTACATTCAAATTCCCAAATAAATCTAACTGTACTAATTAAACTTCTTTTCCTCAAGGCTGTGTTCTAAGGCTTCACTAATATTTTGTAACAGACGTCTGAACTTCCCTTCAAGTTCAATTAAGTTTTCTTTTTCCTGAAGTCACCACCAGTCTACTTGGGGAGAAAAAAAAAAAAGAATTGGATAACAAAGGGATTACTGTAGACAGACAGTAAGTGGGAGATCTAAAACATTCTTGTGGCAGACAACCAGAGAAGTGTGTTGTAATCAAAGCTTGAAAGCTGAGTTCTGTCTAGTCAATTAACGAACATTTAACGAAGCACTTGATTATGCCCCACTCTGGACAGGACACTGTGGTGGGTCCAGGGAGGATGGGAAACCGAGTCAAGCAGAGCTGCTGTCCCCCGGCAACCAAGGGCCTGACAAAACTTAAGACGATACATACCCCACATAATAGCACCTGGTGCTGTGGTTTGATCTGGCACAGGCAGAGCAGAAGTAGGAAACAGCACAGGAAGGTAAACTGGGTTGTGTTACACCTCACCTCCGGTGAGCCCTTTGTGCCACCCCCAATCCTATGACATTCTCCAGGCCAATTCAGTCCCCCACGGTGTAGGATGGCTTTTTCATATCCTCTCTCTCCTCAACTCCAAGTCCTCCTCCCCATCCTCACTTTCTGCCTCTGGCCTTGATTCTTATTTCACAGAGAGAAAAAGGAACAGCCAGAAGAGAGTGCCCACAAGCCCCCATGACCTCACCCGCTCCCCTCTCCCCTAGCCCGTACACATGGCCTTCTCTTCTACAGCCTTTCTGGCTTTGATAAACAGCAACATCTTCCTTGCTTACCCCCTCCAGTGTCCTGTCGTTCTCTCGTATGTCACTTCTGGTCCAGCAATTCTCTGGCAAGTCCCATTGGCTCTATCTCCACATTAAATGCACAATCTGTCCACTTCTTGTCACTCCACTGAGACCTCCTGGGCCTGAGCCACCATCCTCTCTTCCTCATGAACTATCGCAATAGCTTCCCATGATGTCTCCCTGGCTCATCGTCTCCCCCTGCAAGTGGTTTCCAACACAGCAGCCACGAAGGTCCTTACACAATGTCACTTCTCAGTGCAAACCTCTCCGTGGCTCCCGTCTCCTTCAGAGGAGAAGGCTGAGTCTCTGCAGTGGCTGATAAGGGCCTACCGTCTGGCCCCTGAGCTGCCCCCCTTATCTGTCTCCCCTTTGCTCACTCAGCCTTCATACATCTGGTCTCCCTTTTGTTCATCAAACACCCCCAGTGTGTCCCTACCCTAATCGCTTTCTTTGCACTCACTCTCTCCTGTCTGGACGATTCCTCCCAGACGCCTGCAGAGCTCACCCTAACCCACTCAGGGCCCTCCTGATTATCTTTTCGGTGAGGCCTTCTCTATTTAAATCAGCAAACCTCACATCCCCTAACCTCTCTCTCTGCCTTATTTTTTCCACAACAGGCATGACCAAGGCTGTCTCTAGCTCATACTCTGAGCTACCATATTGGTGCGGAACCTGAACTGCTCTGCCAAGGAGATCTCTCCAGGGGCCATCTTCTTGTCTGGTCACAAGTGCCCCTTCTCTGCCCACCCAGGCCCCGGACACGCCTGAAGGAATAGTACGTGTGCTCTTATACACCTGTCATTTCCTGCACACCCGGAGAGGGAGCATCTGGGCACCCTAGGGGACGAGAAGTGACATCAGTGGGTAACTCAGATGGTCACGGGCTGTGTGCATGTGATGTTGGTGCGGGTGTGCCCTTCTGAGTGTGTGCATCCCTGTGTGTGCCATTGTGGGGTTTAGGTAGGAAACTTCCCACAGCTCCTGAATCTAACCTAAAGACCTACATATTCCCATATGGGCTAGTTTATATCTGCAATGTGAATGACTTTCCCATAAAAGTAATGGCCTTGTATAGGTCCCAGCCCCATGTATCATAATCTAGCATATTAGAGATTTTATTTGTTAAGTGGTTTGTATACCGCATATGTTATTGTATGAGTTCCCCAACTGGAATATAAGCTCTAAGAGAGCTGGGAATGCTAACCCCCCACAGCCAGAATGTCACTGTGTATATAATCAGCCATCATAAAATACTTGCAGAATGAGAAATTTGGTAGGTGTGGCACCCATACCTCTCCACCCCAAAGGCTGCTTCCTGCACACCTCTACCACTCTCTGCCCAGAAGAGTTTTCAGGCTGCAGGAGCACCTCAGCCTTCCTGCAGGCCAAGCTGGAGATGCCACAGAGTTAATGCCGCAGAGGCAGCCCTCCATCAGTAGCAGGCAATTGAAATTATTCCTTCAGTTCAGAAAATGCTGAGTAAATTCTGTGTTCAGAGGGTTGGGGCTCCAGGTGCTGCAGTAGGGCCTTGCTTGCTAATATATCTGTATAACAGCTTCTATTACTCCCTGACTCACTCCCTTATTCAGGGCCCCCAACTCTGGACCGTGGACCACTACTGGTCTGTGGCTTGTAAGAAACTGGGCCACATAGTGGGAGAGGAGCTTGAATGTAATGCACTCAAATCATCTGGAAACCATCCCCCACCCTGGTCTGTGGAAAAATTGCTTCCATGAAACCAGTCCCTGGTGCCAAAAAGGTTGGTGACTGCTGCTTATTGGTGTTTCCTGGGATCGCTTCCAAACGAACCGCTGGCTCTCCTTTCTCTGGGCTTCACAAGGAGCCCAAAGAAGACAGTGAGCACTGATTGCGACTGAAGTTTTGAGCAGCCACAGATTTATAGTCCAAGCTCTGCTTCATTTCCTTAATCAGGTAGTGCCTTGCAAAAGACAGATTGGTGTAGAAAATGATGGGGGGAAGTGTGAGGGGCTCAAACAGGAGACACCTCAAGACATCTTGCCATTCTTCCTGAACTTGGACATAGCTGTGTGCGCAGGAAGTAGAATAGGAGACTAGGGGGACATAATATCTTCACTGAAGTTCAGTAAAAAAGAGAGGTTATTTACCTCTTATATCTCCAGCTATTGGATCTTCTGGACTTGGAGTAGAGACAGGAAAAATGGGAATTCCTAGAAAAATAGTTTATTAAAAACTCAGAGGATTAAGGAGACAGTACAATAAAATATTAAATTGCACTAACTAAGAAGAAGCCCTCTCTAATTTAGTGAAAAGTAGCTTGTGGAGACTAACTTAAAGAAGGACAATATTGCTACATTTAAAATGCAGCTAGTAATTGAAACCAGACTGGTCAGACACTCTTATTTGCATATTAACAAACAGATATAGAGATTTTGCGCTCACAATAGCCAAGTCCCAGGCTAAGCAGGATGACTTGACTTCTTTAACAACTTCATGGGTTTTTAATGTAAAATTGAGACTAGCTTTTTAAAAGTGTTTTCTTTCAAGATTCCCACCCCTCAGATTTTGTTTACACCATAACATTACTTCAGGTTTCATTTCTCCACTAAAAAGGAAAATACAGTTTCTGCTCAGCCTCCATCCAACAACTGCAGATTCTAAGTTGATTAAGTCCTGATTTGGTGTTACTGTGTTCTGGCTTAAAATTGGTTCACTTAAACATCAGATGATCATATAATTGGTTCTTCACACCAGGACAGTTGGCAGTGAAAGCAGCACTAGTTTAATAACTACCCCGGGACAGTGTGAGCCTGGACCCACAGCCACCGAGTCATCGGTGACCTGCCCCCACTTTTCCCTACAACTCAATGTGCTCTTCCTGTGGTTGCAGGATCGTGAGTGTGGGAATGGGCGAGAACTCATGCAGCACTGGGGGCTCTTGTCCTAACATCAGACTGCAGTATTTATCTTGTAGCTGAATGACCAGACCATGGCTCTAACCACAATTTGCATAGTCGATTTCATAGATACTTCTGCCTTGTGTTCTATGGTATTTCTAACAGATACTTATTTTTCTCTCTAAGATGCTGAGATGTTCACTAAGATCACTGCAGTGGGGTGAGGTGGGGGCTATGACACCGTAGCCTAGTGTACCTTGGGAAAGAGGAAACACATCCTCCTGCTCACCCAAACATGACACGCACTACATGTATGCAAGTGAACATCTACAAGCCATGACATCAATTCTAGGTTCATGAACTAAAATCACAGACGTGGATTACTAAGGTGAAATTGCCAATATTTGACCCTTTCAACCCAATGAGATGGCAATGTCTATGGTACAACCTAACACTTTGGACATAAAGAAGACTATAAAACATACTTGTATCAATTTTATGTTCCAAACTTTTAAAAACACTTTGACATAAATACAGTCTACCTGGCCCCATTGGTACCCCCCTCCAACCCTCCCCCACCTGCCATGTCCTCAGCTATTAATGCAAAAAGCCCAACTATGCACCAAGAAGGGGTGTCCTACTTTTGCAGTGGTACTTACTCATGCAAAAAGGGAAATTATAGTATCCGACAGCACACTTCTCACAGTTGTCTCCGTGGAAATTTGGCTTGCAGGTACAGCGGCCCGAGCCCTGCTCACAGTCATCCGCATGCTCAGGGTTACAGCTGCAAGCTTAGAGAAATTTCAGGTTTCAAAGGATCAGTCTGCTGCACTTACTGAAGCAAATATGTCCCAATACTTCTCAGGCAATGTTTAATACTTCTTCATTGGTCTAGAGCCATCCTTGAAAGGGTGCATCCTGTTTTTCACTTCATACATAGTTCCCATTGGCTGAACCCCATGGGCCCACAGAGATGAGCTTTAATGAGCATCCACACTGAGATGTTCTCAAGAATGTGATTGATTATACTGAGTTCTGCCCAGCTCATCACAGAAGAGGGAAAACCTTCATCAACTACAATCAGAGGGGCTGGTGGCTGTGTGCTGTAGCTGCTGGCCGGTCTGCTGGGCACAGCCTCTCCTGCCCAACTGTGATGTCCACATCATGGTCATCATCACACAGCTGTGGTGCGAACTCGCATGGGATGCCTAGACGTGGATATATAATCTGCAGACAGCATGGCAAGATTGTGCCCATAATCCAAATGCTAGATTCAAGCAATGTGGCTTACTGAAGGCAGTTTTTGCAACCAACACAATTATTAGGTTTGCATTTCAGAGGGACATACTTGGGGTATAAGAGGTTTGGTGAACCCCTCACTTGGGAGCTTCCCTTGACCTGGCAAATCCTCACCTTGTATAGCAGAAATACTGCCATAGCCCAGCAAGGCACATGTCCCATGAGGAACTGGGAGACTGGAGAAGCTGTGAGCTGTCAAGGACCCTCCAGTTCCCTCACCTCAGCCCAGCTTCTCCTGGTGTCCTTTGCTTAATTTGTTTAGGATTTTTGTGTCCTGTGGATTCTTTGTGCTAAGCCTGTAACATCTCCCTGAGACCACTTCAATGGAAGGAAAATGGAAACACGCTTAATGACTTATTGTCCTAGAGAAAGACAGATCAGAGTCCACAATACAATACTTCAGACTTTGGTGCCCTCAAATCTTAATGATACGACAAATGAATTTTAGAAATGGTGGGGCACTGAGTTTTTTCCAACCATGGCAGCCAGAGAACCGTGGAGGCCAAAAAACAGGAAGGAACCCAATAGGATACACATACAGGACAAAGTCCACAATCAGACCTCTGACTGATAATTCCACAGGAAAGAACCAGCGGCATTTTTCTTTACAATGGATGCGGGATAGCACGGTGACTCCAGACAGAAGTAAACTACTTCCTGGATCCACCAGTGGATCCCTTAGTGGTTTTTTCACCTGGGCCGAAATTTGTAACTACTCAGACCCTTTGGTTCCCCCATTTCTAAAAATTAGAATAATAATACAATGTCCTAAACTTATTGTGAGAAATAAATAAGACATTGTGAAAATATGTAGGCAAGACCTTGCATATAGCAAATGCTTGATAAATCGTAGCTGTTTTAAATATTGGGACTATTATTAAATCCTTATAAAATCTTTACTAATCTTTACTTGATGCTACTGCTGAAAATTTTTGAAATAATCAGAGATCATAGAAACACGTCGCAACAACAGGAGACGGAGGGACTCACATTTGCTGCAGGCCCAGTGTGTGACAGGCCCAATACTTAGTGTTTTCCTAGGGGCTCTGGGGGGCATTTCACTTAATCTTAGGGAGTATATCACCATTTCTACTTATATATAAGAAGTCTGAGGCTTAGCAAGATTCTGTACCTGCCTGAGGTCACACAGTAAGGAGTGAACCAATAATATGGAGAAACCAGGAAAGTCGGGAACTACTAACTGACAGGGATTTAGCCTGGTGACCTCCCTGAAGCAGCATACACAGTGTCAGACACACCAGGTTGAAATGAAACTTACGGATGCAGCCGTGGGGGGCATCGACTGGAATGCCATGAGGGCGGTAATAACCCTTAGCACACTTTTCACAGTTTATACCAGCCGTGTTATGCTAGAAAGAAAGAAAAGAAATTTAGAAGTATAGTACTGAAGAAATCTTTATTCTGCGCTATTCATCCAGGGAAATAATTCTGTTGTATACACCTGTAGTTTTAATCTCACACACACACACACACACACACACACACACACACACACACAAAATTGATCTTGACCTTTGGTCTGCAAGACTTACCACAGGATACTGGTTTACGTTTGGCTCTGGAATTTTTTTCTCATTGGAAGAAGAAATGAGAGTAAGTACCATGACCTGGAAAACCCAGGTTTTCCCCACATCACACAATTTGCCTGATGAAGTACCTGACACTTGAGTGAGAAAAAAAGCTCAAGAGGACCACTCTTTAAAGTTTTATTCAGAAGTGTGGATAATAAATCACCCTTAGTTTTACCCAAGGAATAAAAGGTCATGTATGTATTTTTACCATCTCTGCTTTTAGAAGAAATCACATATACAGATCTTCTCTTGCCATTCTAATTTTATCTGTACTTTAGTCATAAAACCATTTCCTAAACATTTCTGTTACATGAACAGAAAGTGTAGGCATGAGTTTCATACACAGAGCTCATTTTAAAGTATAATAGTAAGCAGTTTTTTATATTTCATGATTAATCCTTTTAATTGCCACAAATCAAATTACCCAACATGCATCACCAGTTTCCAAGAACTGTACACCATGGGTCCAGCTCAATTCTGCCTCTCTCGCTCTCTAATTTGGAAACAGTTAGGAGGACAGTGTTCTTTCACTAATGAAAGGAAAGGCAATTGGAAGTCAAAAGAACAAATATAACACACTTGGATGCAAAAAGAGTCTGCATAGAATCACAGAGGGGAGAACAAAGGCACTTTCTATATCCTCTCCCCCTTTTTAGATGATTTTATTAATTACAGACTTTTATTTATTACCACTCCTTGTCCTGTGGGTGAAAATCTGAATTCACTTTAACATTGAAGACTAAAACCACACTGGCCACTTCTCTGACTTAACATTTACATGCATAAACATTCTGGGCAAATGAGAAACAGCTGTCGTCCACCCTTCTTCCCATCAAATGCCAATAAACCTCTCTGTTGCTCGCCACTGTGACTTATAATAAACAGAGGACATCAGGTTAGCCTTGGCTCCCCAATTTTTCCCAGTGGAGTAGGAAATGAAAAGTTCTCTGAAGTGGGCAGCCCAGGCTCTCCCCTCTTACACAAAGCTTGGTCAATGAAGCACCTGCCACAGAGAAGTTACATTTTTAAGACACAAACAACAGCAACAAGTGACCAAAAGAAAACAAAAGATCACCCCGAAGATGGAATAATGCCTGTGGTTTGCCTTCAGATCTCAGGTGGTTGTCTGGAACCCACACAGAGCCCTGAAGGTGATGACACACCCTTTATCTATGGACACCCAAGGTCATGGTTGGACTGAGGTCAGATTGACACCTACAGACAGTGGCTCTCTAATTTCTATATTGGAAGCAATGAAGAAGCAATTTCATTGGGAGGGGTGGGTACTTGAATTTACATTTACAGGACACTAAACAAGATGGGAAAACCTCAGCTTCCCAAGTTCATGAGTAGGATGGGCACTAATGGGATCTATGCCAGAGATGAGCCTACCACCACCCACACCCCCTCCTTTGCCACCTCCTAGAGAAGCTAGGAATGCTCACCTAGAAACCCAGCCCTGCTCTGATCATTCTTCGGTTTTAATTCCTCTAAGCAAAATTTCCAAGGTGCTTTGCAATCTTCAGGCTAAAACTCATCTGTCTCTCTCTATTCCTTGGCCACACCCACAACACTGCAGCTGACTTCCATTTCTGTGGACCTCAAGCATGTGGGGAGTACACTTTTCCACACGTTCCTGAAAAGCCTGGGTCTGATTTTCCTTCCTAAGGCCAACACGATCTGGCCTCTGCTACCTCTCTGACTTGTCTACCCCTGCCCACTCCTCTCTGGCCACACAGAGCCCCTTGCTCCCTCTCAAGGCCCTTTGCCCTGCATACCCTCTGCCTGGAACACTCTCTCCCAGATAAATGCCTAGCTCATTCTCTTGCTTCTTTCAGGTCTTCACTCAAATGCCAAATCCCAGGGAACTGGCCACCCTATTTAAAATGTCACATCCCCAAGGCAATACTTAAAATAGTAAACACATGAACTAAAATCAAATCAATTCCACATGAGAACATGGTCATCTCTGGCAAGTGACTGCCCTGCAGAATAATAATCTGGCTCCTTCACATGCTGGCTGCCTGACCGCGTAAAAGTCTCCAGGCCCAGCCTGCCTATGATGTTCCCACTACCTGTTACCAGCCAGAGCTCATGGTAGATAGTTATTATTCGTCCATTACTAGCACCACAGAGAAAAGGCGGGAGACAGTCAGGCTAACTGGTGCTGTTGATTGAATGTCTGTGACCCCCCAACCCCCCAATTCATATATTGAAACCCAATCCCTGATGTGATGGCATTTGAAGATGGGGTGTTTGGGAGGGAGGGAGGTCATGAGGGTGGGGCCCTCCTGATAAGGCTAGTGCCCTCATGAGAAGAGAGAGAATTTCTGCACCATATGAAGGCTACGACTAGAGGGCAGTCATCTGCACATCAAAAAGTGAGCCCTCCCCAAACACTGGACCTTCCAGCACCTTGATCTTGGACTTCCCAGCCTCCAGAACTGTGAGAAATAACTGTTTATTATTTAATCCACACACACTATGGTGTATTTATTCAGGCAGCGTGAACTGACTCAGACAGCTGGGTTTCTGGTAGATGACGGCTGTGAGGTACATGTTCTACCAGCAAATTCAGACTTCACCTTGAAGCATCACCCTGTGGCCCACCCAGGCCACTGGCCCTGCTGTAGCAGCACTCTCTGCCCTCCACTCCTTGTCAAGACTCCCCATGTCCCTGTGTACACGGCATAAGATAGGGTGATACTTTTTCTGAAAATGAAGAGCCAACTGTCCCAACATCATATATGTAATGTCCACCCCTGTCTTCCACTAAAAATGCCAATTTTACTGTAAACCAGATTTTCACATCTGCAAGAATATGTTTCTAGCTTCTCTATTAGAGTTTATTGAACTATTTACTCCTGCATTGAGTCCATACTCAGTACAGATTCATGGTATGTTTTGATATCTCTGAATACAACTTTCCTCCATAATTATTCACCTATTCTCATATATTATTTTATCAATAAGAACTTTAGATTCATTCAGTCAATCTTCATTAAAAATGTCCTATGGGATTGCCAATATTTTGTTGAGGATTTTAGCATATATGTTCATCAGAGATACTGGCCTGTAGTTTCTTTCTTTGTTGTGTCTTTGTCTGGTTTTGGAATTAGGATGATACTGGCCTCGTAAAAAAGAGTTTGGGAGACTTCCCTCTTCTTGAACTTTTTGGAATATATTGAGAAGGTTAGGAGTTAGTTCTTCTTTAAATGTTTGGTAAAATTCACCTGTGAAGCCAGGGCTTTTGTGTGCCGGGAGTTTTTTTATTACTACTACTTGTTATTGGTCTATTCAGGCTTTCTGTCTCTTCTTGATTCAGTTTTGGAAGATTGTATGTTTCCAGAAATCAGTCCATTTCACAGCATATAGCTGTCCATAATGATTTCTTACAATCCTTTGCATTTCTGTGGTATTGGTTATATCTTCTTTCATCTCTGATTTTTATTTATTTGGGTCCTCTCTGTTTTTTTCTTAATGAGTCTAGTTGGAAGTTTGTGAATTCTGTTTATCTTTTCAAAGAACCAACTCCTAAATTCATCTTTTGAATTGATTTTTTTAGTCTCTATGTCATTTAATTCTGCTCTGATCTTGATTATTTCCTTCCCTCTACTCACTCTGGGATTTGTTTGTTGTGGTTTCTCTAGTTCTTGTAGATGTGGGGTTAGGTTGTTCATTAATAAATCAACAAAAAGCAAGTGCTGGCAAGGATGTAGAGAAAGGGAACCCTAGTGCACTGTTGGTGGGAATGCAGACTGGTGCAGCCACTGTGGAAAGCAGTATGGAATTTCCTCAGAAAACTAAAAATGGAACTGCTTTTTGACCCAGTGACTCCACTGCTGTGAATATACCCTAAGAATCCCGAAACAGCAATTCAAAAGAACTTAGGCACCCCAATGTTCATAGCAGCACAATTTACAATAGCCTAGTGCTGGAAGCAACCTAAGTGCCCAGCAGTAAATGAATGGATCAAAAAACTGTGGTACATTTACACAACAGAAACTACACAGCAGAAAGAAAGGAGCTCCTACCCTTCACAACAGCATGGATGGAACTGGAGAGTATCATGCTAAGTGAAATAAGCCAGGTGGTAAAAGACAAATACCATATGATCTCACTTATAAGAGGAACTTAATGAACAGAAGAAACTAACAAGCAAAATAGTACCAGAGGCATGGAAACAAAGAATAGACTGACAGCAACCAGAAGGGAGTGGGTAGTGAGATAAGGGTGAAAGAAAGGGAAGGGACTAGTCAAGGAACAGGTATAAAGGACCCATGGACATGGACAGCAGGGTGGGGATGGACTGTGGGAGCAGGGGGTGGGCTGGGTGGAGTGGGGCAAAGGGGGGAAAACTGGGACAACTGTAATAGAATAACAATAAAGTATTTTTAAAAATTAAAATAAAAAATATCCTATGGGATTCTGATTGCAATTGTACTGAATTTATAGACTGGTTTTGTAGAAATGGTATATTTATAATATTGAGTCTGGAGACACATTATGGCTTTCCATATTGGTCTTCTTTTATAAACTCCAATAAAGTTTTATAGGTTTGAATGCAGCTTCACAGTTAATTTCTTCTCTCTGTTGCCTCTTGGAGTATCTCCAAATCATCCACAAATCACAACTGTGTTCTTCTGCATGTGTGTGCTTCTGTTTTATATCTTTCTAGAATCTCTTGAAATTTTTGGTCTGTTAATAATACTCTTTCTTATTTTTCATCCTGTTGTGCATTCTAGAAGGAGAGTGTATTTTGCTTATTTATTATCTTT